ACAATCATTAAGATGTATGGACAGCTTACATGTTTATGAGCACAAGGGGCATCCAAATAATAAAAATTGACTAGCATACAGTTGTTCTATTGTTCCAGATGAATGCCCTGTTAAGGACAAGGGAAAAGTCAAAATGGACATAGAATGAATTCACAAAATATCCAAAAGAAGTTGAAATAGCTAATTAAAGTTTCACAAACTTCAGAATTAAAATTTAAATAGCAAATTTTAGAAATAAAATGTTATTGTGTTCAACATAAGCAAAGATATCCACATCAAAACGACACATGTAATGACGTTTTTAAATTAGTATCATAACGGGGTAAGCCTTTCACTTTAGCAGATTTCAATCCCTTCGAGAAATGGTAACTGAATATTTTGGTAAAAAAGAACAATCATCCTAGCTTATTAAAAAGAAAAAGAAGAAGAAGAAGAAGAAAAAGACTAATCATCCAATTTGGAATGAAACAACCAACCACCATTAGCACACACAAAGAAAAGCAACACAACCCCAATGTTTCTAATGTGGATCAATCACCTACAACAAAATCACTCCAACGCTTGAATTCATTTTAAAAACTCAACTAAAAGAAATCATAACAGGAAAAATAACATCAAAATACTTATGTGAAACAAGAAAACCAATAACTATGAATTAACATAATAAAATTCCAATATAACTCTTATTGATAAAAAGCATCTCAAATTACCTGCAATTATCAACGAAACAGGAATGTTAAAGGTGTAGATATTGACTGGAATGCCTAGAAAATGCAATTTACCAATAAGAGGAAAAGAGAGGTCGTAATGACCCATTTTCAAAATAGGGTGTAAAGCTTTGTTGAATTGAGGAGGGGGGGGGGAGGTCGCATTTGGATCAGCAATATGCATTTGCAGTCTTGAATCATACTAATAGTTTAATTGTTAAAAATAATACTAATATTTTAATTGTTAAAAGATTGAAACAAATAAAAATAATTCAAAAACCATACCAGTTGATAAGAATTTTATTCAACAACCATCTTGGGACTAAAAAAAGTTGCGATGTAAACATTTTGAAGGTTGAACCTCTTTTAAAAAAGGGGCAATTGCACTCCAGTGTAATTTAAAAACAAAATAATGACGCAGGTGAAACAATTTATTATTTTTCATATTAAAAAATATATATATGATTTTAATTTTTAATATTTATAAAGTTTATCACTAATTTGTAATTATTTTTTGTTCACAGAATAACAAGATATGAACTTGATAAAATGAATCAAACCAATAAAGTGAACCAAACCAATACAATCCAAAACAACAAATAAAAAACAAAGAACATTCTTGAATCAACCTCGGAATAGGATAAAAAATTACAAGTTATAAGGCATGAAAGTAAAAGCAAGGGAATTCCAAAAGCAAAATAGTTTTTGAAGAAAAATTATTAACGGAATCCAAATTACAAAAAAAAAAAAAAAAAAAAAAAAGAATCCAAATTACAAAAAAAAAAAAAAAAAAACCTAGAATTGAGGCTAGCTTTGGTACTACACTGCAACATGAATAAAAGACACGGTGCTTTCATTGACACACAGAGCTAATCATCCTAATACAAATGACCTTAACATACTCACAATTCATCATCATCATCATCAATGTAGATGTTTATATTCTGCGGATTGAAGCATCTTCAAAATAAGCGAATCACACCCTGAAATATAAAGGCAAAAATAAGAATCTAAAATCCAATTTTTTTTTTTTTCAAATTTCAAACTAAAAGTTATGAAAAATATAATTAATACAACCAGATTCACTAAAAAAATATGAAAGGAAAGCCTTCGTAGTAAATCAACCAACACACTTGCCACTCCAGCAAAATGGAAAGGCAAGATAACTTACAATGTTCTACCTAAAACAAATTAATCATCAAACAAACAATAGCAACCAATGAAAAAAACCCTTCGGAAGTCTTACCACTCTTTTCCTTTCAAAGTACTTTTTCATCTTAATCAACCACCAATCTTTTAAACAATCATTTTCAAAAAAATTAATAATAGTAACTTGAAGGGAAATTCTATAAAGTGTACTACTAAAGAAGGTACATTGTAAGAAAGTTAATTATTTTATTTTTTTAAGTTATGCTATGTTAATTTGTGGTAAAAGTTACGCACTGTGAATTTATAGTATGCACCCTAAAGTGAAAGTTATACTTTTGTGGTGAGAAAAGTAGTGTCATTTTATGATTTATGTTACAAAATTTTGTAGTAATGTTATGAAAGACATACCATATGCACCTTTTTACATAGCATCTTGCTAATTTGAAACTAATGCAATACTATAGAAAGAATTATAATTTGAGAGTACTTTGGTAAGCTTCTTACTGTTTTCATAAATTATGACCTATTCCATTGAGTGTTGTTGATCATTACGACCTTTTTCCATCATGATTGAACCCATTGAGTTAAATCCTAGCTATTGAATGGTAATGGTTCCTATAGTAAGCTTTAGTAAAGCATCAAATTGAAGCATTGTTTCCACAGCAGTTTACCAAAAATTAAGGAATCCCTATTAGTATACAAAAAATTACAAATAATTGGTTTTCTTTAAAGAACTACTAAAAATTATAAACCTTAAACCTTTATGGCACATATAAATATAGACAAAAGAAAAATTAAATGCATAAACGTACAGGCATAATCATACTAAAAACAAAGAGATCTCTACAACGTTCATAACAATGAAAAGAAAAAAATCTTATTCACAAAGTATTTATCCGACTTCAACCCCAAAAAAAAATTGCCCCTATAGCAATCTAATAGAAAAAGCAAGAAGATAATTTGCAGACACAAAACTTGCAATCTAATAGCATCATGGCAAACCACAAAAAACACACTGAAACAAGATTTATGTTGATCAAACATGGAGAGATACTTTGCAATCTGATAGTATACACAAAATTCTCAATTTAATAGAATTAACCCAAAACTCAAAAAATATATATATAATTAAAACTGAAAGCACTTATAATACCTAAAAAGCAATCAATATCATCAATGGACACAATAGCTTTAGAAAAAACTTCAAGTACCATCAACACCATCTAGTTGTAGACCTCAAGTACCATGAACAATAACCTTGAAGGGAGAGAGAGAGAGAGGAAAGAGTAAAATCCCTTAACTGAACAATAACCAAATAACAAAGAATTAGTAACCAAAATAATAACCCTACATATGTTATTATCCACTATCTAACAAAAATCTACCAAAGATATTCTCATGGACCCAGTAAACATAGCTAGGTGAATGGAAGCAAAAACAGGGGAGAATGAGCAAAAAAATCAATAAAATAGCATAAAAAATAGGTGTGCTTACTCTTTGGATGTTGCTCCTTTATGACCTAAGCTAAAATAATCAAACAATGATGGGTTTTTATACCAGTGACCTGTCTTGACCCGGTTTCACCATTATATGAACCGAAAAACCAAGGGATTCTACAAAATTGTAAGGAACCTATGGTGGTGTGTTTTGGCTTGTGGTGGTGGAGGAAGGTGGTGTAACGGCAAGAAAAATGATGGGTTTGGGGTGTGATGAGATTGGTGGTGGTTGAGTAGCAGTGATAGATTGAAAATTTGGGTCTTCGAATCAGTGGATTCTAGTGGTTGTTGACATGTGGTTTGTTGTTGAAAGCAATCAGAGAGAGTGAAATAGGTAAGAGATTGAAAACGACGAACCAACTGGGTCTAATCCAAAACCTTCTGATTATTGAACCATAAAAGAGAATGAAGGAAGAAGTGTGTTAGAGAAACAGAGAGTAAGACTGAGAGAATTGTGTTTGAAATTTGAAATTCAAATGAGAGAGAGAGCTAAACAAAAAGGGATGAGCTGGAAGAACAAACAAAAGGAGAAAATGTATCCTCCACCGTAGGATGTATGCCAAACAAACAATCTTAACCATTAAAAGACAATTTGTTTTTTGGACATTTTTAGACCATTAGATTGTGTCAATCCTAACCATTCAAAGTGACATCTAGGACAAAATTGTAGTACATTTTCAAAAAGCTAGGTGCTTTATTATATAGATAATTGTGGACTTAAGAGCCAAAAGATATGAACTACGTCAAATGAAACCAAGTCTACATGATCATTCTCTATCCATTTTTAACCAATGTTTTCAAAAGTCAAATACTTCCACATGTTCAACCTAGTGTAAGAGAAGAGCCATACTTAATCCCAACAGTGAAATCATAGATAAACCAAATGGTGCATGTTTTCTTAAAAACATAAGAAATATTTCAATAGTTGATCAAGTTACCCATACATGACCTTCAATTGGAGCAAACCATGGATGAACTTCTGATAGGCATTTTAGTCAACACAAGAATATATAGTGTACTAATAAATAACAAAAGAATAATATAAAAAAAAATATAATTTTTGAATATCTTAGAATAAAATGAACAATTGTCAATTCAACAAGTATTTGTTCTTGCCAATGAATTATGTCAATGCCACTTATTGTGAATGGGGTTGCTTGGTACTGTGTCGATGTGGACATTCAAAGGAGTGGAATCAAAAATTTTGTAAAAGAGAGAGAGAGAGAGAGAGAGAGAGAGAGAGAGAATAAGGAGGCATTATACACAAGATACACATAAATAGAAATTATGAAAACATGTTGCAAAGTCACATAGCAACAAGTACAAAATAGTTGATAGAGATGCATAAACCCATGTAAATCCATAACAAAAAAAGAAAAAAAAAAAAGAGCTTCACTTAATAATATATAATTTAAGATGTGTGTAGCATTACCTTCATAGCTTAAGAAATTTACTCAATATCATGCATTCCATGACTATCTTTTGGCATGAACTTCTTTATCACTTCTCGGAGAGCAGGATCTTGTCCTTTAGTTAAGAGTATATCTACGATCAAGGGAAAATTGAATGCGTCTACCGAAAAACCCCTTTGAACCATTTCCTCAATGAGTATTAATGGCTCATAGCACTTATGTTGCCCAATAAATCCTCAGATAATAGTGTTGTAAGTGACATCATATGGAAAACAACAACTCTGTTCCATTTTAACAAACAACTCTTTAGCTTCATGCAGTGGGCCTTCTTTACAATGACCTCGGATCATCATAGTGTATGTCTTAACATTTGGTTGTAATCTCTTGGAAGAAAGGTTACTAAAAATGGCCCTTGCAATGTCAAGCTTTTTATCCTTGCAGAATGCATCAATGAGAATATTATACTTAACAGTATCAAGATGTAAACCATTGCTTTCCATCATGTGGAATAATGACAATGATTCAGAAATATGCCCATTTTTGCACAACCCATCCAATAAGATACCATAAGTTTGAGAATCTGGATTTATGCATGCGGCTTGCATATTATTGAAAAGTTTTTGAGTAGCTTCACATCTACCTGTTTGAAACAAACCCTATAACATACCGTTGGAAGGTCCATTGTTGGGTTTCAACCCCCTTCGAGGCAATGCTAGAAAGAGAAGCATGGCCTCATCTATTTTCATTTTCTTGTAATATTCACTGATTAGAATGGTATAGCTAAAAACATCAGGGTGAAGGCCCCTCTCCACCATGGTATTGAACACTCTAATTGTTTTATCCATGTGGCCTTGCAAACAATATCCATCCATTAGAGTATTGTATGTGACTACATTAGGATCCACACCTCTTTGTATTATGACTTCAAGTACCCCCTCTACCTCATTCATCTTCCCTTCCTTGGTACATGCATCTAGCAACACACTATACGATGAACATCCGGAGCAATACCACTATCCAACATTTCTATAAACATTCTGGTAGCCTCCTTCCACCGGCCAAAATTACATAGGCCATGAATCAAAGAGGTATAAGTGACAACATCTTGACAAATACCTTGTTCATTTATCTTAGAAAAGAGTTTCATAGCATCATCCACCATTTTATCCTTGCAAAGACTATCAATGACCGTGTTATACACTACGGTGTTAGGTTTACAACTTCCCTCTTCCATTATCCTAAGCAAACTAACAGCCTTAATAGTGTTCCCTGTTCTTCAGAGCCCATTAACAATGGTTCCATACATAACCACGTTGGGTTCAATTTCTCTCATTCTCATTAATTTCATAAATAACTCTACAGCTTCAGGGGTTTTATCATCCAAAATAAGTCCATTTAACAAAGTTATGAAGGTAACTACATTGGGTGTATGACTGCGTTTGAAGAGGGTACCCAAAAGAGAGAACCCAAAATGGACTTGATTTACGCAGCAATAACAATTAATAGCAATGTTAAAAGTGAAGATATCGACCTGAATGAATTTACAGCATTGCATCGAAAGGAGGAGGACTAGGGCTTCAGGAAGTAGAAAGAGAACAAAACAGAACAAATAAGAATGAAGAGGGATGATCAATTAGAGAGGGAAATATTGTACCTTTTTGACAATTATGATCAGGTATTCTTCTTCTTCTTCTTCCAATAATGAAAGAAATAGAAACTCTTCTTGACATCTTTGTCAAGCTGTATGTGAATGAAAGAGAAAGAGAGAGAGAGAGAGTGTGTGTGTGTGTGTATGAGAGAGAGAGAGAGAGAGAGAGAGAGAGAGAGAGGACTGGATTTAGGATTCACTGAAGAAGACTTATTTGGAAATAGATTGGGTATCCATTGATGATCAACTTTAAAATAGCTTTTCGATTAGTAGTAATTATTTTGTCATCTTACGCCTCTCCAATCCTTCTATCAAACATTTTTATTAAATTTGAATAAAAATTTGATAAAAAATTTAATTTAATATGATGCACGTTAGTAGTAAATTTAATTTTTTTATCAAATCTTGTAAAATTTTTATCAAATTTTGTTACAAGCTTAGTTGTTTGAAAGGACGTCCAAGCAGACGTTTCGCCATGAGTAAAATTTAACGTTCAGATAAAAAAAGCCCAATTGTCCAAAAGATGTTTAGGAAGACGTTCAGCTTAACAACCATTTAAAAAATTTGTCGAAAGGTCAAAAGTTCCCTCAATTTGATGAAAAATTTAACTCCTCCATCATTTTATATCGATTTAATGAAACAGTTGAAGTACCATTTTAATCAATTTTTTATCAAATTTAAATTTGATAAAACATTTGATGAAGATTGGAGATGACTTTATATCTTAAAATTGTGTTAGTTTAATTATAGTGGTTTTGGTAAGGGGATTTTTTTTTAAGGTCCCTGGTATTAAGATTTTATAGCATAAAGGGCATCCAATAGTTTCATAATGTCTAAGGTCCCTCAAATCAAACCAGAGAAAATTCAATCCAGAGAGATTCTTTGGTCCAAGCTAGAGAAAATTCAATCTAAAGAACTTCTCTGGTCCAAGCCAGAGAAAATTCAATCCAGAGTCCAGAGAATAACACCACTACATGACTATGAGAACAAATTAGCAATTCTTTTTCTCAACAACCACCAAAAAAAAAATGAAACAACTGAGAGGGAGAGAGAGAGAGAGAGAGAGATGCCAGAGAAAATTCAATCCAGAGAAATTCTTTGGTCCAAGCCAGAGAAAATTCAATGCAGAGTCCAGAGAAATTCTGGAGAATTTCTTCCCAGAGAAAATCACCTCTTTACAGAGAATAACACCACTACTTGACTGTGAGAACAAATTAGCAATTCTTTTTCTCAGCAACCAAACAGTTAACATCAATCAAATAACCCCAAAAAAAAAAAACAAAACAAAACAACTGAGAGGGAGAGAGTAAGAGACCGCTTGAGATCAAGTCGAGGCAAATTGGACATGCCAAAGAACTTGATCGCGTCGTTTCCAGTAATGCGTCCATCGCCATATGAGTTTATCAATAAGAATCAATTTGGGGGAAAAAATCACTTCAAAGAGAGAGAGAGAGATTGATTCACACAAACCAACCTAAATTGGAGTAAATGAACCATTCGCTTTAGAGAAATTTAGAAATTCTCTCAAATTTCTCTAGACTTCTCTCCAAATTTCTCTGGACTTCCTACTCTCCAGAGAAATTCTCTCCAAATTTCTCTGGACTTCTCTTCAAGTTTCTCTGGACTTCCCACTGTCTAGAGAAATTCTCTCCAAATGAGTGTATTTGCAGGAGACCTACGTCAAAACAAAATTCAATATTTAAGTAAAATATAAAAATGCAAACTTGTAGCTATTGAGAAGAAGAAATACATTGCACAATTCTATAGGATATATTAAAATGTCAGGACACCAAATAGATGAAACACCAAAAACCTCAAAGCAAATATGCCCAATAAAACCTAACATGAAACTTGGAATTTACCTTGCAGATATTACCCACATCAGAACTAATAAAGTGTCTGCAAACATTTCTGCAGCCTCTGTGAAAGGGGATACAATAGCCAAAATAGTTCGGTCAGTCGTAGTGAAACAATGAAACACTTTGTTTTGTCTGTGTTGTCGTATGCAGATTACAGAAAGCAATTAATGGCAAAATAAGGCAGTAACTAATAAACACTAAATGCTAAGCATCACGTGTTATCAAATGATTTAGTGACTATGGCAGAAAATTATACTACAAGCCAAACTGTGTTCTTCAGATCAAATATAAACTTAATAAACCGAACTTCAAATGCTTTTAGTGGCAATTAAAATAGACTGACAAATTGGAGTACCTATCATCCAAATTTCTCTGGACTTCCCACTCTCCAGAGAAATTCTCTGCAAATTTCTCTGGACTTCTCATTGTCTAGAGAAATTTCGTAAAGAAAAGATACTCACTGATAATAAATATTAGTGGGAGAGTGTACATCTAAGTTGTTTCATATCCTTCAAAACAAAGTAGATATACTTTTTAATTTAATAGACATCAAATAACATAGGTTAAATCACTATCAAAATAAAAAGGTAGAGATTCCATCTGAATGAATCCAAGAAAATGCTACCAAACCAAGCAAAACAAAAGTTTGGTGGAGTCAATTGTTGTTGCAAAATGAGAACAAACAAACATTAGTGAAAATAATGTTGAGGTGAGAATTATTAATGAAAATGATGATGGTGAGAATTATTAATCAAATAGTTGTACAATTCTAACATGTAGTACTATCTGATAACATGGTTAGAATGTTGTATTTCTTTCTTGACTCATCAAAAAGAAAAGAAAAATTAAAAAATTGTTGCTTCGGGTAATATTGACACAAAAGACCAAACTCTTGGGCATTATTTCCCTTGGAATATGATTTCCTCAACTTTAATCTCAGCATATTATAAATCTCTCATTAAAATTGAACTTGATTGCTGCATACACCATATAAGAGATAATGAAGTATATCCCCAAACTACAGGTTCGTCTACACGTCGTGAAATAGTCTTCTAATCTGATCCACCATTGCAGGCATTAATGTAACTGGGCATCGTTTGTACTGTGACCATGTAAACCAAGGGAATGAAGTACATGTGAGACAATTATATAGTTGCAAAACTAAGTAAAAGAGCATGATACAGGAAAATAGTAGAACATGGACTGAAAATTAAAAGGAGTTAAACATAGCTCGTAGCTTACCACTTCGACATTGGCTTTGCTAGGACTTAAATATGCGAGAAAAGCTTCAGTGACACCAAGAATGGGGTCTTTGGGAGCAGGCTCAATGGTTCGCCACGATGTAGAGAACATAGATCGAGCTCTGAACGATGCGATCGATGAATTCTTCAGAATTTGAATCGACATCGCAGTTCGAATCGCCATTATCGAAGAGAGAGAGAGAAAGAGAATCTAATAAATAGATAGTGAGCGAAGAGAGAGAGAGAGAAAGAGAGAGAGATGAGGTTTGATTTGAGAGAGTCAAACTTCTCTATGATATATGGGTATAGAGTTGAGGGACCTTAGACATCATAAAATAATATTGTGGATCTCTTTCATTACTAAAATTGTGAGAGGGACCTTACACTAATTTTCTCTTTTGGTAATAGTGCTTATTTTTGGGGGGTAAATTACATTCAATGTCTGGAGATTTTTGATAATTACACTGATTTTTTTTAAAATTATTCAGGTCTCCTTGTGACTAATGACGTTAATAAAAGGTTTAGTTTAGTATTTTTAATATTAAAGATATTTTTGTTGTTAACCATTAAATATGTGATTATTATTTTAATTATAGCTTATGTGGTGTTTAATAATGACTATTTTTTTTTTTAGTTGTGACTAAAAAAAATTTAGTTATAACATTTGTTTCGCTATGACATTTGTGATAATTAAGACTACAAATGTTATAACTTATATATGATGCACATAAAATGGTGTATATTCTTAGAATAACCTATTCGTGTGAAAAAAATGATGATAAAACAAATTAAAAAATTAATTACATAATAAAAGAAGTTATTTGGCAGCTTTTAATCTATACTTGACATCAGTTCAGTTATCCTAAAAAAAATAAGGAAAAATAATTATGAGTCTCACTATCTAAATTAATAAAAATCAAATTGGGATACTACATATATTTGTTAGAGTAGTATTAAATAATATTTCTAAATAGTCACATAGTTTGGCTATATATATAATTTATTGCATTAAATATATACAAGTTCTTGTATTTCTCATTTGGTTTCAATAATTGATACTAACTTGTTTACTAAAAAACGATTAATTAATTCTTTTTATTCTTAATTTACAACTAATCACTTCAAATGTTATGCAAATCAAATTAAAATTCCCTATGTGCTAATTTAACAACTAATCATTAACTTTTGCCCCCCAAAAAACAAATGTTAGTCAAACTAATGGTCAACCAACAGAAATGGACAAAAAGTGCAAATCAAAAGTAAACCTTAGAGTTAGAAGTCAGTGTAATTGTCAGAAACTTTAAGGGAGGTTAGTGTAATTTATCCTTTTTTTAATAATTTAAAAAAAAAATTGATATGTTTAATGATTGTTTTTCTTTTGTATACAATTTATATATTTCCATTCGTATAATTGATACCATATATATCTAATTTTCCAAACCAAACCCTAACCAAACCATTCTCTCTCTAGCGTCTCTTTCTCTAG